TCCCACCCCGGGACCCCCCGAGACCCCCCCGGGCCCCTCCGGGGCCGCTCCGGGGCCGCCGCCTCCTCCCGCCGCCGCCATCTTGGATCGCAGCGGAAGTGACGTCACGGCGGCGGCGCAAGCGTTGCTAGGAGGCGACGCATGCGCCGTTTGAGGGGAGGGGCTTGCGGGGCTGTGGGCGCGGTTTTCGGTGTGGGGGCGGGGCTTTGGCGCTGTGGGCGTGGCTATCTAGCGAGGCCAATGGTTTGTGGGGTTGTGGGCGTGGTTTTCGGTGCGAGGGCGTGGCTTTTTGTGTCAGGGGCATGGTTATGTAGCCAGGTGAGTTGTTGCTGGTTTGCGGGCGTGGTTTTCTGTCTAGGGGCGTGGCCTTGGCGTTGTGGGCGTGGCTATATTGTAAGGTAAGCAGTTCATGGTGTTGTGGGCGTGGTTTTCTGCCTAGGGCTGTGGTTATGTAGTCAGGTGACTGGTTTGTGTCGTTGTGGGCGTGGTTTACTCTCGGGGGGGGTGTGGTTTTGCATTGTGGGCGTGGTTTTCTGTCCAGGGGCGTGGTTTCTGTGTCATGGGTGTGGTTATTTATCCAGGTGAGCGAGTTGTGTCATTGTGGGCGTGGTTTTCCATGCGAGGGCGTGGTTTTGGCGTTGTGGGCGTGGTTTTCTGGTTTGGGGGTGTGGCTTCTGTGTTAGAGGCGTGGTTCTCTATCTAGGTGATAGATATGACCCCAGTGACTCCCAGTATGATCCCAGTGACTCCCAGTATGACCCCAGTGACTCCCAGTGTGACCCCAGTGACTCCCAGTATGATCCCAGTGCCTCCCAGTATGATCCCAGTGGTTCCCAGTGCCCTCCCTTGAATAGATGGATGCGACCGTCGATGCAAATTTATGCAAATGAACCCCAATGCCACAGGGTGGGAACTGGGAGGAGACCCAAGACTCGTCTCAATGAGGGGGAGGAGCCAATGCAAAACACGAATATTTATGCAAATTAGGGCAAAGTGTATGTGCATCTATGGAAATTTATGCAAATGAGGGCAAGGTGTGCACAAATCTTTGTAAATTTATGCAAATGAACCCCCCAGTCCAACCCCCTGCTCGAGGAGACTCTGCCTTTAAAAGGGGGGCGTGGCCACGGGGACCCGCCCCCAGTGGTGACCAATGAGAGGCCAGACACCCGGATGTATTCAAATCCATGCAAATTTATGCTAATGAGCCCCCTTGCTCCTCCCACTGCTCCGGCGTCAGCGTCCGGTGCTCCAGGGCGTGGATCCGGCCCAGCTCCTCCCCCAGCGCCTCGTTAACGAGCCTGGCGGGTAATTAAAGGCTTAATTAGTGCCGGGAGGCGCCCACACCCCCTTTCTTTGGCCACGCCCACAACTAGGTCACATCCCCAGCAGGCTGCAACTTAAACCTCGCCCCTCAAACGATGCCACACCCCCTTGACCCCGGCCAACATCTCAGGCCCTTCCCATTTAGGCCACACCCCCCAACCACGCCCCCTTGTTTCTGTGTCTTAGGCCCACCCACTTTTAGCCCCGCCCACCATTAGGTCACGCCCCTGACCACACCCCTGCATTTAGGCCACGCCCCCTCCATATTTCCACCCCAAACTCCTCCCCCATTTGGCCCCGCCCCCTCTGAATTAGTCCCTCCTTTCACCACGCCCTCCCCCAGGCCACGCCCACCCCCAGGCCCCGCCCCCACCGGTGCCTCTGGAGGGTTTTGAGGCCCCGAAAAATTTCAGAGACGACGACGAGGCGAAAACTGCCCGGGCACAGCTGGGGGGGGGCACGACACCTCCTGAGGGGTTAATTAACGCTAATTAGTGCTAATTAACACTCGTTAGTACTCATTCATATTTATTAATAGCCGTTAATTACCAGTTAATGGTCACTAACCACTAATTAACCACCCCCAATAGTGATTATCCCAATTAAAACCCCCTTCCTGGCGGTAATTAACACTAATTAGTGCTAATTAGCACTCATTAGTACTCGTTCATATTTATTGCTAGTCACTAATTACCAATTAATGGTTACTAACCACTAATTAGCCACAATTAACCACCCTCCAATGATGATTACCCCAATTAAAAACCGCTTCCTGAGGGTAATTAATGCTAATTATTGCTAATTAAAACTCATGAATAGTTATTCAATATTAATTCAACACATTAAACCACCCCCAAGGCTGATTAATTAACCTCTCCCGGGGCTAATTAGTCTCTCCAAAACTTCACTACTCCCCTAATTAATCCCTTAAAGGGCTAATTAGCCCCACCAAGCTCATTAAACCCCCTCCCAAGTACTAATTAACTGCTCCAACGGATTAATTAAGCCCCCAGTCAACTAATTAACTGCTCCGATGAACTAATTAACTCCTCCAATAGACTAATTAACCCCTCCAGGTACTAATGAACCCCTCCAATGGACTAATTAACCCCCCAACGGACTAATTAACCCCCCCCCAACCTACTTAACCCCCCCAATTACCCAATTACCACGTCCCAGGTACTAATTACCGCCCCCGCGCTAATTAACCCCCTTAATTAGCGTTAATTGCGCACCACGTGTACGGCCTGGAGCCGCTCCCGGAGCCGCTCCCGGAGCCGCTCCGCCCTGGGCGCTGCCATTTCCGCTTCCGGGTGCGTCACATCCGGGGGCGGGACTTCCGGATGCGGCACTTCCGGACGGAGGCGGAAGTAGCCACCTGCCGCAAAATATATAGAAATAAATCCAGGGAATTATTACAAATCAATGAAAAATAAAGGCGTGGATGTGAGTTTATAGAAATATACAAGGCTCTCTCTCCCCTCTCCCCCGAAATATATTAAATATTGTATTAAAAAAATATTAATTTAATTTTTTTATTTTTGTTTTTTTTATTTATACATTTATT